AAAATTAATAGAGGTGGGATGGGAATAAGAGGAAAAAAATAAAGAAAGAAAAGCTTAAGAGATGTCTTGAGGAAAAGAAAGTGATTTTGAGATTATAAAGAGGGGCTAATAAGAGTGAGGAATGAAAACCAGGCTAACACCGGGAAAACATAAAATTTGAGATGAAAAAATGAAGCCCTGGCTGGCGTAGCTCAGTGGATTGAGCACAGACTGCGAACCAAAGTGTTGCAGGTTCGATTCCCAGTCAGGGTACATGCCTGGGTTGCAGGCCATGACCTCCAGCAACCGCACATTGATGTTTCTCTCTCTCTCTCTCTCTCCCCCTCTCTCCCTCTCTCTCTCTCCCCCCCTCCCTCCCTCCCTTCCCTCTCTAAAAATAAATGAAAAAAAATTTTTTTTAAATGAACGGGTTGGATAAAGACAACATGGAGTAAGAGAGGGGAACAGTACATTTTGAGACTTGAAATATAAAAATAATGAAGATCTAGAGATAAAATAAAAAACTGCAACAACTACTACTGTATCCACCACCAGCAAGCATAGATTGTTTTAGTTGGAGAGAGAACGTGGGTATTTTAAGAGTAGGAAGAAAAATGTGGGATGACCATTGACAATAAAATTGGTTTTGAGAGGGTGTACAGGGGAGAAATAGTAAAAACTGCAGAATGGAAACAAGGTGTAGCAAGAGAGAAAGCAAAATTTAAAACTAAAGAGGAAAGAAGGTAAAATGGAGTAAGAGAAGGGAGGAGCAATATATGAGAATTAAAATAAACTTTCATATAAAATCTAGTGAGACTTAACATGCACAAACTTATAGACATGAAATGAATGTTAAAAAAACTATAAAGGAAAAAAATATCACAAATTATGGAGAAGACCACAGTGGACTTCCTCTCTATACCATCTAGGATCCACCTCTGGTGATGTCAAATGGTGATCCCATCTGTCCTTAGGCAGCCTGTTGAGACTACCAGGATCTACCATCTGTGGCTAACTCCTTCAGTTGTTAATCTAGTCACTCTGCACTCAGCAGTCAGGTTTAAGTACCACAGGGTGGGGCGAAGTCACTCTTGGTGGTGGGTCTGTTGCTTCCCTTCAGGCTGATGCGACTCAGAGGGGAGAGGTCTGCCTGAGCAAGACAGCCTGCAGTAAAGGGGTGACTTGGCACTAGAATCCTCACGGTAGCTCTCTTAGTTCTCTCCCCAAAACTTCCATCCCCAGGCTCTCCTCAAGTGTCTCTAGTCTACTCTTCCCACTGGTCCTTTTCCAGAGCTCAGGGTAAGTGGATGCATATGAAAATTTATGCATTGGCTCTTTAAATGGCTTTTTGCATCTCCAGCCTTCTGTCTCTGGCATAGAGCAACCCTGTCATTTTTCACAGCTAGATGCTATCTGTGTATATTTCGGGCTCTGGAGCTGTAGGCTGGGAAGCCCAGCTTGGGGTTTAGACCCCACACTTCTCAGGAGGATCCCCCCAGCAGTTTAGATATGCCTCCAGAACTTCAGCTGCTTCCTGTGGGTGTCCAGCCAGCCCTCTGGAGTCCTCTCCACACTCCCTACCAGTCACATTGTGTTTAAGCTGTTTCTTTTGTCTGTCTGTTGTTATAAGGCTTTTCTCTTGCTATTGTTCAGTTATTTATTCCCGATGATTTCTCCACAACTTAGTTGTAATTCCAGATTGGTCCTGGGAGGTGGTTAGTGTAACTTCCACTCACTCCTCTGCTGTCTTGGATCCACAGCCCCATCTGTGCAAACTTTTGTCTACAAACACCACAGAGTAGTATCAACACAAATGCTAAAATATTAAATTAATGACAATTTAACTATAAATAAATAAATACATCTAAGTTCAAATAAAAATCCTTTATATGCCACCACTCCTGAAACCTACCAATGGTATACTAACTGATCCATCTCAGGTTGACTGCTAGAAAAATTACTTCTCTAAATTTCCTTTCTTTCCTCCTATTAAGCAGCTGTTTACCTGAGAAAGGCCTTGGTGCAAAGGCAGGAGAATAACCCCTTCCATTACACACACAAAAAAAGAACTGTAAAACAGTATGAACAGCATGCAAACTACAACCCTACAGCAATTAAAACAGTATGCCACTGGCATAAAGACAGACATATAAAACAAGGGAATGGAGCCCAGAAATACATAGTCAAGAGATTTTCAATGAGGGTGAAAAGACCATTCAATGGGAAAAGAACAATTTTTTCAATAAAAGATGCTGAGAAAACCAAATATCAAATGCAAAAGAATGAGTGGACCCTAATCTTAGACCATATACAAAAATTAACTCAAAGTAAATCAAAGACCTAAATGTAGGAGTTAAAACTCTAATAATCTTAGAGGAAAATGTTCATGTCATTGTATTAGACAATGATTGCTTGAATATGATACCAAAAACAGGAAACAAAAAGAAGATAAATTGGACTTGATAAAAATTTCAAAATTTTGTGTATCAAAGGACACTATTAAGAACGTGAAAAGGCAACTCACAGAATGGGAGAAGATATTTACAAATCATATATCTAATAAGGGATTAATACCTAGATTATACAAAGAACTCCTACAACTCAGCAACAACAACAACAACAACAAAAAACCCAGTTTAAAAAATGGGCAAGGGACTTGAATAGACATTTCCACTAAAGAAGTAAAAGGGTTCTGGTAACAATTCCAATTGGGGGTGAGGGGAAAGGGTCCTCCTACAGTGTAGGGCCTACACCAATGAACAATTCTCAGAAACCAAGAGGTGTGAGGAGCATTCAACTAAATTCTAACACTACCTACCCAGGGACAGTGTCAGATACCACAGCTTGGTACTACAAAACTGCCTCCACTGACTCATGACTTCAGAAGCCAGTGCTTCAGACTGGTTGACTATAAATCACAGGTTCCCAAGAGCTGCTCCTTGGGTTCAATTAATTTCTATAGCAGCTCAGAGAACTCAGTGAAACATTTTACTTACCACATTACTGATTTATTATAAAAGAATAGAACTCAGAACAGCCAGATGGAAGAAATGAAGAGTATGGGGAAAAGACACGACACTTCCATGCCCTACCCAGGCACGTCACTCTTCCCAAATCTGTACCTCTGCACCAACCCAGAAGCTCTCCAAACCCTATCCTTTTGGGTGTTTATAAAGCCTTACTTACATAGACATGACTGACTAACTCATTTGCCCCTCTCCCTTCCCTGGAGGTTGAAGGGTGGGACTGAGAGTTTCAACCCTCTTATGGCATGGTTAACTACACTGGCAACCAGCACTCAACCTTAGGTGCTTTCTAAAAGTTACAACGTTAACGTAACAACAGACACCTTTATCACTCTCAACATTTAAGAAATTCCCAGGGTTTTGGGAACCATGATTCTGGAACCATGAATGAAACCTAAACATATAAGAGAAATATATTTTGGTCATCTGAATAATCAAATACATATGTCTTATAAATCACAGTATCACAAGAAGATATATGAATGTTGATTAACACAAAAAGATGTTCAACATCATTAAACACTGGGGAAATGCAAATCAAAACCACTAGAGGATACCACTTCACAAGCACTGGCAAGGAAGCAGAGAAACTAGACCCTCATGTATTGTTCATGGAAATGTAAAATAATTGCAGCCATTGTGGAAACAATTTCTCAGTTTCTCAAAAAGTTAAACATAAAACTACCATATGACCCAGTCAGTCTACTTATAGGTATATATCCAAAAGAATTAAATGCAAGGTATCAAATAGCTATCTACATACTGATGCTCACAGTAGCACTATTTACAACACCTAAAAGGTGAAAACAACCCAGATGTCTATCCATAGATGAATGAATAAACAAAATGTTGCATACATACACAACAGATAAACAAAATGTGGCATACATACACAACACAGATGAACCTTTTCAACACAGATGTTAAAAACATTTGCTTAGTGAAACAAGCCAGATACAGATGGACAAATATTGTATGGTTCCACTTATATGAGGAATCTAAAGTAGTCAAATTCAGAGACAGAACATAAAATAGAGGTTACCAGGGGCTGGAGGAGGGGAAAGGAAACTGTACCATTTAATGATACAGAGTTTATGTTGGGAAGATGAAAAGTTCTGACATAGCTATCAGTGATGGGTACACAGCATTATGAATGTCATTAATGCCACTAAATGTTACACTTATGGTGAAAATTATAAATATTATGTTAAGTATATTTTACCACTATTTTAAAATGCAGCAGAAAAATAAACAATATTGACAGCGCATTAAAATTAGTGTGAGGGGGTATGGGAAGGACTGGTATGAATACAGAAGACAACAATGTATTTACATTTTTATAAAGATAGGTAATATATCCAGAAGAATACACAAAAAGCCTGTAACAGTGGTTGCCTCTGGGGAAAGAACTCTGTGGCCAGAGAAGAAGTTCTCACTGAACACACTTGTCTGTCCCTTTTGAAATTTACATTTGTGCCTCAATACCTATTATTAAAAAATGAAGAGAAAAAAAAACATTAGACTGAGTCTGAAGGGCAATCTAGTTTTAATTCTCTCACTTTATAGACAAGGAACTGAAGCAGCAAACACATTATGTTCTTGCCTAAATTCAAAAACCCAATCAGTGAAGAGCTCTAGCTAAGGCAAAAACAGATATAGAGTATATTTAGTAAGAAAGAAAAGGTAGCCAACTACAAAAGAGAAAAAAACCATTTTTAAGGGGTTTTAGAGTATATTCTATGACAAAGCAAATACTCTGGATTCACCATCAAAGTTATAATAAGCAATGCCACACGCACTTATAAGTACCACTTCAGGCCCAACACAAAATTAGATAAAACAGTAGGAGAAGAACATGGAAGAAAGAACAATGAAACTGATAAATATAGAGAGGAGCAGTAACACCTTACCAAGCAGCTAATGTGTTCTTGGAAACATTAATGCTCCTTGGATACTCAAGCCCCCACATTTCCTGAAAACTAACAAATGTCTCACCCAATGACTCTGTCCTCGCAGTTTATCATTTGATTCTCCTACTATTTCTTCCCATACAGCAGCTGTTCGGTCAAAAGAACAGGAAGCTAAAACTTGTCCAAATTCAGGATGGGCCCATGTCACACGCCACACAGATCCACTATGTGTCTGAGGAATTAAAAACAAACAAAAAACCCCAAAAGCTGAGTTTACTCATATTTCACACATATAATGTTTTCCTTAAGAAAATGGAATACACGTTTACTTTAGTAAAGGAGAAAGCTGTTCAAAATAACATTTCAATAAAAACTTAAATGCTAAAATTTTTTAACTTCAAGATATTCTATACACAGAATTGTAACCCTTCTGGAGTCAAGTTCTAAATTTTACTAATAAAGAAAAATCTAGCTAGATAAAGTTGACTTCTTCCAATGCTAATATTAAAGACCTGCTTCAGAGTTTAGCCTAAACAAGTTTTTAAAAAGAGATTCTACCAGTTGACTAATTTTTCAAATTGTATCTATAGGGAATATCCACATAATAAATAGTATCAATCAAAACTATTTGCTCCAAAAGCCTTACAGTACAGTCATACCTCAGTACTCAATGGCTTCAGAACTCAGAACTCTTCAAACCCTGTACTCGTCACATTTTGATGAAGAAAAAATGTTTCAGCACTCAGCACTTGTTCAGGACTCATAGCACTTGCTAGAACTTATATGCATCCTGACACTATCCCACAAGAGAAAATGTTTCATCACTTGTTGCTTGCTCATACAGAGGTACTGCTGTACATAGAAGCTGTAGCAACAAAATGCTTAAATGATTCTAACTGATGTCTGTCTAGACAATGGACTTATTCTAGGAAAAGAGCCAACGGATGGGCAAATATAGAAGTCCAAATCCTTGTATTCTGAGAAATAATTTAAAGCTCAGCAGTAGTACTTTTATGTATGAAAAGTATCAAATTACTATTCAACTCTTTGCACTGACCAAAAAAAAAAAAAAAAGATGGAAATCGCCTTAAAGACTTTCACATCAACAGAATTTCATTTGTGCTGTCCATAAACATACTGTATGACAAGCATCAATCCACCAATTACATTTACAAAATTTGTTTCATGCTTCTACATGTCTAACACTTTTACACTCAACAATCTCAGAATACTTTCAAAATCTGTTAACTTCTACATGATAACAGTATCATCCAAAGGTAAACTTTAAATGCTTATTTTTTTTATATTTTATTTATTGATTTTTAGAGAGGAAGGGGGAAGGGTGGGGGAGAAAGACAGAGACAGATTTGTTGCTCCACTTATTTATGCATCCATTGGTTGCTTCTTGTGTGTGCCCTGACTGGGTGTAAACCACAACTCAGGTGTATTGGAACAACACTCTAACCAACTAAGCACCTGGCCAGGTTTTATTCTTCATTTTGTCCAGCCCTTCTCTTGTTTGACCTTTAATTCTTCTTTATGTAGGTTATTAAGTAAAAAGATACAACAGGGAAGTGAGATTTTGTTCAGAATCAGATTCCCGTAAAGCACAATCTAACTAAAGAATAAGAACTGCACAAGGATTGTCATCACAATAAAGAGAAACAACTTAAATATCCATTAGTTAAGCAATGCAGAGTATATTTATGTTTTTAAAGAGGCTTTGAACATACCTCAAAGTACAATACTTAGGTCATGTAACTGAAAAGCAAAAGATAGGGGTTTCCTTTTGGAATTATAAAAAAAGCTTTGGAACTAGATAGAAGTGATAGCTGTGCAACATGATCAGTGGAGTCAATGCCACTGAGCTGTTTACTTTAAAATAATTAATTTTATTTTGTGTGAATTACACTTCAATTTAAGAGCACAAAAGATTTGGATATATAATTCACCAAAGATAACTGAATGGCAAATATGCACATAAAAACATAACATAATCAATACCTTTAGTCATTAAGGACATACAAATCAAAACCCAATGAGATACTACCTCACACCAAGATGACTATAATCAAAAAATAAATAAAAAAGAAAAAAAGAAAGTATCAAGTGTATGGAAGGATACAGAAAAGGGAACCATCTTATATTTCTTAGTGGGAATATAAAATGGTAGAGGCACCTTGGAAAAGAGTTTGGCTATTACACAGTTAAAACATACACAACCCACCCATTCCACTCTTCAGGATCTACCTAAGAGAAATGAAATGTAGGTGCACACAAAGACTTGTATGGCATGTTAAGAAGAGCATTCATTACTCCTAATTGCCAAAAACTAAAAGCAATTCAAATGTCTACCTGGTGAATAAATAAATATATAAACATGGCTTTTTCTATACAATGGAATGCTCCTCAGCATTACAAAGAATCAAACTACTTACACATGTCACAATATGGACCAACCTCAAAAACACGCTAAGGGAAAGTAGCCAGACAAAAAGAACTACTTGTTACAGAATTCCATTTATACAAAATATCTAAAAAAGGTAAAACTACAGAAAAAAACTAGTTCAGTGGTTGCCTGGGGCTTAGGAGGGAAATAGAGGAACCCATATGGGCACAAGGGAAATTTCAGGACTGATGGAAGTGTTCTAAAACTAGATTGTAGTGATGCTTACAATACTATATAAATTTATTAAAACTCACTGAAATGTAAACTTGTAATTGATGACTCTTAAGGAACACAAAACTCTACCTGAATAATGCTGTTTTATAAAAAATCAAGAAGTAAAAATGTATCAAACATAAAAATATGTAAATGATAAAAGACATACTAACACGCTAAAAATAATTACGTTAGAATGCTATGGAATTACAAATTTCCTTATTCTAAAATTTTCTAATGTGTATTTGTTATTTTAATAGTAGAAAATGTAAAATTCCTTTTTAAGAAAAGAAGTATAAATTTTACAATTCTCCCAAAGCTAAAGAGCAAGTCACTGATACTCCCAAATAAACAGCAAACATTTCCATTTCTTTAAACATTTCAATTTTAAAAATTACTGTAAAAATAAATACTAACCTTCCAGCTAGCAGTACAATGCCAATCACCACTTTCACTTTTATCCCAGACCTATAAAAAAATTAAGACAGATATTTTATACAAAAAAACTTAAAAATTAATATGAAAAACATTAAGATTAGTCAGTATTAGAGGAAAGGAGGTGAACATGTATTCACAAAGGAATACAACCTATCAGCAAACATCCATTCATTCATTCATTCGTTCGTTCATCCAAATATTTATTGAGAACCTTGGATGTGTCAGGCACTGGGCTAAGCACTGAGGAGTCAAGGAATCTGAGCTCTACCAGGTAAGAGAGACACTTACAATTATAGTTAAGTCTTGTTATTCAAGGCAGTTATGTTCTCTATGTTACCAAGAACACTGAATTAGCAAATACTGAACCACTGCTCCTAAGGGAAATACAAGGTGAGAGTTCATAAGAGCCCCTGGTCACAACATACCTGTTAACCAATCAATATATAAACTGGTTTTATGTGTGCATATGTTTAAAATCAACTTATTTAATATATATTATTGATTAATTAACAATGAACTCAAAACCAACTGCACTACAACTCATGTCTGAATGAAGCTTCCTTAGCATACATATTTTCTCCCTAGAGTACATCACAGCCTTTGTGCACTTGGGAACACTAGGCAGTACTTCAGCACTATGCTTGGGCACTATTCTAGACAGTGAAATCACCAAAAAAAGAACATATATGTCACCCTGGCCAGTGGCTCACTTGGCTGTAGCATCATCCCATGCTTAAGGGATGCAGGTTGATTCCAGTCAAGGCACATACCTAAGCTGCTGGGTTTGATTCCAGGTAGGAGTACATATGGGAGGCAACCAATCAATATTATTCTCTCACATCAATGTTTCTCTCTCTCTTTTCCCTCACCCCTCCTCTCTCTAAACATATCAATGAGTAAGCACTAATAAAAAAAGAAAGAAAATGTAAAGAATGTGGCGACAGATAATGAGGACACGTTTACAACACGAGAGCCAAAATAAGAAGGAACCCTAATGGTCCTCAAGTGAGAACATGTACTCAGGCAACTCCAATTTTTTTGCCCCTCTGTTCATGTCAGCAAAATAACAGTATTGATATTAGGGTTAAAATAAATCTTAGAGAGTAAACAAATTCACAAATACAAAATCTACAAATATTATTGGTTGTACATGTAACAAACCAAAGCAAAATATTGAAATTTCTACCAACAAAAAAATAGATTATAATAACAAGATGACATTTTTAACCTGTTAAAAAATGTAATAAACAGTATGGTGGCTACTCAAAAAATCTAAAAATAGAAGTACCATATGACCCAGCAATTCTACTCTTCGGTAAACACCCAAAAGAGTTAAAAGCAGGGTCTCACAGTGACATCAGCATCATAGCAGAGTAAGAAGACCTCTTAATCTTTCCCCTTAAAGTTACAAGTTGGACAACTATAATTCAACAAAGGAGTCCTTGTTCAGTGCACAAACATATCTGAGGGACCCAGGTACCGAGACATATACAGGTGGGCATAAAGTAGTAGACAGGAAAGGAAGAGTACAGCAGCCCTCACTCCGCAGTCCAGAGGCACTGAAGTAGCATTCTGGCCTGAGTGGCCAGTACATACACTGCAGCTGAGCAAATGTGAGAGGCCAGAAACAGAGCAAAGATGTGGCAGCTGCAAATTGACAGCCACCATTATCAGGAAAAAAACAAAGAGGCATGAATCTCTCCCAGCTCCAGCTGACAGGGTAGCAGTGTAAGTTATCAGAATACAGCCTCATTCACAGAAGCCTGAAGAAGGCTGAGGGGCAGAAGCAACATTCCAGCCTAAGTGGGTGGTACACAATGCAGCTAAAATGCAGTTGAAAAAAACAGCCACATGCTCTCCCCTCCAGAAACATACCCACACTTTTCCTTTCCTCTTCTTCCCTCACAGGTTGCATCTTACCTAAACTCTAAGGGACTTCACAGGATATGCAACCATGGAAGCCATTGGCAGCAGCAGCTCTTCCTGGGCTAACCCCCAGAACCTGTCTCCAAGATGCCCTTTTATCTGACTTGAGCCAAAGCAGCCCTGCCTAGGCTCTCTCCTATTGCCTCTTCTATCCTAAGCTCTTCCTTGTTTCACCATCTCCAGATTAATAAATGTACTCTCAAAATGAAGAAAGGGAGGGAGGGAGGGGAAAGAGAGAGAAAGAGAAGAGAGGAAAGAAAAAGAGAGAGAAAGAGAGGAAAGGAAGGAAGAGAGGGGGGAGGGAGGGAGGGACAGAATAGCAGATTCACCTCTTCCTGCCCACTTCTCCCCCACCCATTGTGTGTGGGAGAACCCAGCAAAGGCAGCTGGGATACCTTAGAAAGTACAGTATGGATAGCAGCCTCTGGTTGTAGGGAAGCAGCACTGAGAAATCACAGGCCTGGAACCCCATCACCTATCACATCTCACCACAGAAACAGTGCCCTGAGACAGAGATGACCCAATCACAGAGGGGACACTCAACTCCTCAGGGAATATAAGGCATTTTCCATGGCCATGGCAACACACCCCACTGACATCCAGAAAGTGCTAGTAGTTCAGGTAATGGGAATGGGGGAGTAGGAGGGGGGCAACAAAAGCTTATACTATAGCACCACCTACTGAAAAACAAAGACCTCTACTTATCACTTCTAAAATGTTAGAGCTAAACGATATTAAAAAAAAAAAATTTTAATTCCTCAAATACCCAGGCAGAATAACCCATCAAATACTGCAAATAACCAAGGTAAAAAGGTAGCTCAGAAAGAAAATGAAAGTCTCCAGAAAACAAACTCAAAGACATGGAGGACTGTGATTTAAGTGACAGAAAATTCAAGATTGTAGTTCTGAAAAAAACTCAATGAGATATATGAAAACTCACAACAGCAGTTCAAGGAGCTTAGGAATAAAGTCAATGAACAAAAGGAGTACTTTACCAAAGAGACTGAAACTAATAAAGAACCAAACAGAAATTGTAGAGCTGAAGAACTCAATAAATGATATGAAGAATGAATTAGACAACTCAGGAAATAGAGCATACCAGATGGAAGAATTAGTGATCTTGAAGACAGAATTCTAGAAATGCCTCAGCTAGAAGAGAGAGAAGTGGTCATTTTAAAAAAAATGGAAAAACTCCACAATAATTTGTCTCTATTAGAAAGAGCAACATAAGAATAGGTATAGCAGAAGTAAAAGGGAACAGAGAACCTACTCAAACAAATAATCAATGAAAGCTTTCCAAGTCTATGGAAAGAGAAGGACCCTCAAATCTAAGAAGCTAACAGAACACCTGAATATCTCAATCCAAAAAGGTCTCCAAAAATGTTTTCAATGTTAAATTTAATGACAATGAAAGATTTCTCAAGGCAACCAAGGGAATAAAAGACTATAACCTATACAGGAAACCCCATTAGACTATCATTTTTGGGTGTATTTTTCCCCCAGCAGAAACCTACAAGCTAGGAGCAAGTGGAGAAAATATTCAAAATATATTGAAAGAAATAACCAGGCAATAATAATAATATATCCAGCAAAGTTATTCTTTAGATATAAAGGAGAAATAAAGGCTTTTCCAGAAAAATAAAAGCTGGCGAAATTTATCTCAAGACCTCCATTACAAGAAATGTTGAAAAGAGCTCTTCTACCTGAAACAATGCAAAAACATGAGTAAGATGACAAACAGACACATAGTACCAGGAAACTCCAACTGCATTTCAGAATAGCATATTAAACACTTAATTATACAATACAGATTAAAAGGGGTAAAAAGCATTTTTAGACTACAGCTTCTGCAATTTGAAAACAAACACAGCATAAAAAAGGATACATAACAAAAACATATCAGGACAGGACAAAAAGGACTAAATCTGCACAGACAGATAAATGGTAACAAGATGCAATCAGAAGGGAAAGGACTATGGTGTATATGAAAACATTTTTGCATAAACCTAGTGAAAACCACAAAACAAAAATCTAGAAGAGAGATACAAAATAGAGATTTATAGATAGCAGGATGACAGCTAAGGGGAGCGGGCAGGTAAGGGGATAGATGGATTGAGCAAAAAAGGAAAAGTGACTCATAGACATAGACAACAGCGTGGGGATGGCAGGAGGAAGGGGATATAAGGGGACTAAAGGGTAACAAAACAAATGCAATAAAAAGTACATTTTAAAAAATTAAAAATAAAAAGAGGTAATGCGGGGGGGAATCATAGAACACCACCAAACTAAAATAGTAGACAGAAACATAGGGAAAAGAAAGAATGGAGATACAGAGCAACCAGGAGGAAAAAAAAAAAAAAGATAAAATGGCTATAGTAAGTCCTTATATATCAATAATCACCCTAAATATAAATGGACTGAACTGATCAATTAAAAGGCACAGAGTAGCGAGATGCATTTAAAACCAAGCAGACTCATTTCAGCTAAAAAGATATAAACTCAAAGTGAATGAGTCGAAGACGATATTCCAGGCAAATGGCATCCAGATAAAAGTGGGGTTAGATGTGTTTATTCAAACAAAATACATTTCAAGATTTAAAAAAGGTTATATTTTATAATTTTAAAAAAAGGATAGACACTTCATAATGATAAAGGAAGCATTTCATCAAGAATGCGTAACACTTACTAATATGTGCACACCCAACTTGGAAGCTACAAAATATGTAAACAATTACTAGCATACCTACACAAAGATACTGACAAAAACACAATTATGGTAGGGAACCTGAATAACCAATTGACAGCCATGGACAGATCATCGCCCCCGTCCCCCCACCACCAAAAAAAAGTCAATATAGGCCTTAACCGACACATCAGACCAAATAAACATAATAAACATAATAAACATTTACAGAGCCTTCCATCCTAAATGACAGAATATACATTCCCCTCAAGTGTATATGTAACATTCTCAAGAACAGATAGTATGTTGGGGGCACAAAACCAGTCTCAACAAATTTAAAACACTGAAATCATACCAAACATGTTTTTGTATTACAAAGGTATGATGTTTTTCTCTTACAAAGGTATGAAACTAAAAATTA